CCCTGGGTAAGGAGGGTGTATGGGGGGGGGTTGGTGGGAGGACATGGGAGGAAGGGAGGGAAAGGAAGAGGGACCTGGGATTGACATGTGAAGCCACCTTGTTTCTAATTTTAATTTAAGTTAAAAAATAATAAATTAGGAAACTTGAGAGCAATACAATTTAGTCTTACCCCAGATACTTATTAAATACCAGCTTTTTTTGGCATATGTACTGAGCTATCAATACATTGATGAGCATCAAGCAATTATTTTCCTACTATAAATCTGATTTCCTATTGCAGACCGCAGACTTTGAATAAGTGTATTTCTCCAGGGAGGATTTATTAAGTGGGGGTCACTCTATGGTGGGGATTCAGAAAGGCCTCCCCAAACTATAAAGATTGAATCTGAACCAAGCATGTGTAGATGTAGAGAGAGAGAAGTGTAGGCAACCTTTTGTGTATGGGGTAACAGCATTGATGGCATAAGAACCCAATCTATTTGAGGAACAAGGAGGAAGCTATTAAGAATGGAATATAGAAAAAAAAAAAGAATGGAATATACGTAGCAAGATGTAAGTAAGGAGATGACCGTATTGGCTTTGAAAGAATGCTGAGGTCTACCCTATGTAGGAATGATGAATAATCATCAAAGACTTTTTAATAGGGCATGCATTATCTTATTTGCATCGCTGACAATCAAATACCTTTGAGTGTGAGAGAGCCAGAGATGGTTGCACGAGTATGGAGAAGGCAAGATATTGAAGCATCAAGTTGAGAGATCATGGTAGTTAGGACCAGGATTATGGTAATAGAGGTAGGTGCATGTGAGACTCAGTGCTTTATTGGGTATAGAAGTAAGGTTCAGAGGCATCTAGATGACCTCCCAGATCTCTGGGTAGGACCATTGTTTCAGGTATTCAATAAAGGTCATTGAAGACTTGGGAACAAGATAATATGAGTTTGATTTTAGAGATGTTGATAAAGTTAAGAAAGTGTTGCCTACATGGAACAATAATATTGGTTAAAATTGGAAATACAGACTAAAGATTCATGTCCTGTCATTGTTAGGAATAATTCATAAAGGAGAAGCATAGTACCAGAGATTGAGAAATTCAGAGAAGGTGTGGTGTTAAATTCATGAGAAAGATATAAATCAGTACAATATTGTCCAGAATATTTAGAAATAACAGATGTTGGTCTTTGAGGAAGGGGGCAAAATTTAATATAGAAATTTCATGAAATTGGAAAGAATCTGAACAAACAAATTTGGAGAGGCTTTTGCCAGACCTTGTATTTCTTTTGTATATCCCTTAGACTACTTATATCTTTGGGATACTAATTGATACTGGGTACTTATCCTCTTTCCTCATACATGCATGTCTATTTTGCACTGTATTTAACAGATATGAATAAGGAAATTAAATTAAACAAACATAACTGTTAAGATTATTTATATTTAGCATCATGAGTTTTCAAAATCAGTACTGCATATATACTCCAAGGGACCTCAGGAGTTTAAATCTGTGCCCTCTGGAACACCATTTGACATACTTCGAACACTTTGAAAAGTGTGTGTGTGTGTGTGTGTGTGTGTGTGTGTGTGTGTGTGTGTGTGAGAGAGAGAGAGAGAGAGAGAATTTCCATTGTCTAGTGCAATGCCTGGTAAATAATATACCTTTAGATAAATAAATCCTCCAAATTCCTCTTTTTCTTCCAAAACCCAGCATCTGTGGTTACCACAAACTTGTGGGCCACAGAAAGAAGCACATTGAATTGCCAACAAAACCCAAACCATCCAGTTTGGGTTGTGGTACAGATTTCAGTCATAGTTTGAGATAATTTGTATGATTGAAGATAAGGGTAAAAATTTGAGAAGTCAGTAGGTATAAAAACACCAGGCATTTATTTGATTCTTCATATTTTCCAAGAAGAAATCCAGGATGATGGGCCAGGAACAATTAGACATAATTAAAAAGAGCACAACCTGGCTTATTAGAGTAACATTGTGGAACACATCTAGTACATTGTAGACTGCATTCTTGTACTTTCACACTAATTTCTATATGATACATGAAAAAGCTCTCAATGGTGTTGCACTAAGTGAGGACGTCGATGACTTAATTCACACAGACTTTGGCTGGGTATAGTCCTCTTTTTGTACGTACTTATTTGTGTGCTGACACTCGACAGAACTGATTCCATTTCAGGCATGCACAGGTATCTATTTTAGAGATTTGACCTCTTAAGGGCCTTCACAATACTACTAGGATAGTTGCCATTATTTGCCTATCTTGCCTTCAGCGTTTCTTTCTCATCCTCTCATTCTCGTGTTTCCTGCCTTCTCTCTCCCTGTGCTGGTTAGATTTATGTCAACTTGATACAAGCTAAAGTCATGTACGAGGAGGAAACCTACTTTGAGAAAATGCCTCCATAAGGTCAGCTTACATAGTATTTTCTTAATTTGCAACTGGTGGGGAAGGGCAAAGCCCACTGTGGGTGGTGCCATCCCTTGAGCCAGGTTCTGTAAGAAAGCAGGCTGAGCAAGCCATGATGAGCAAGCCAGTAAGCAGAAGTCCTCCATGAGCTCTGTATCAGCTCCTGCCTCCAGTTCCTGCTCTGTTTGAGTTCCTGTCCTGACTTCCTTTGGTGGTGAACTGTGATATGGAAATATAAGCCAAATCTACCCTTTATTCCCCAACTTGATTTTTGGTCATAGTTTTTATCATAGGAATAGAAACTCTGGAGTTACTCTCCGAGTCAGAAAGCTACCTTCTGCCTTTTATTGGTTGTTTGTTTCCCCCATTTAATTCTTGCCTAAATTCCTATTCTTTGTTCTTTTTTCCAAGTTACACTTTGATAAATATATACCACAAACCATGTTAGTTAGTGGGATGTAAAGATACATAATACAAGATGTTTTTCTCAGAAAGCTTAAGTTTCAATCTAAAAAGTTATGTGTGTGTTGTGTCATCATCATTATCATCACCATCATCACTATCATCATCTAGATACCACGGTAAGCACAGGAATGAAACGAAGGAAACAAAGCAAACAGGAGCTCTCATTTGTTGTCATCTTGGGGGAAAGTTCATTAAAATGAGAACAATGAGGTTGGGGCATGCTTCCCAAGATGATACTTTGGTGAAACCAAGTGTACTAACCCAAGTTCATAATGCATATCCCAGGGAAAAGCTCTGGGTCAAATTCCATAACAATAAGATGGTATTTAACATTTCAACAGGGGCAGATGTGTCCAATTTCCTGATATTGTGACAATACAGTGTAATCTACAACATTCCCATTCAAGAACCACACAATTGGGTGGCCAAAAGATTGCAAATCCTTTAGGTTTGTGATTCTTGTAGCTAAAAGATCTCTCTCAAGAATAGTGCAGAAGAGCTCTCCAGTTTTGAAGACATTTACACTCCAATGGACCTTACAGTGGTGTATCTGTGTCAGGCAAGCTTTTCCCAGATGTGAGTGACTAATGGTATTGATGGTGTTGCCTGTTGAAGTTCAGCAGCAGAGACTCAACAATATATATTTTGAAATCCTTTTTATTTTATTATTTTTTGCCTAACTGACTGGTGCTACAGTTTGGATAGAGTTTGGTTGTCCCTTACAAAGGGCTAAATGTGCAGAGGTAGGGCCTAGTGGAAGGTTCTTATGTCATGGAGAGAGTTGGAGTTACAATCAGTTATAAACTGCCTAGTGTGGGTACTAGGAGTTGAACTTTGGTACTCTGCAAGAGCAATTCCCACTCTCAGCCACTGAGCCATCTCTTTAGCTCCAGATAATTGGTTTTTCATCCACCCTCTAAATATCTTTTATAAGTTCCTCATAAGCCAGGGAAGTGTGGAAGTTGCATACAACCTGAAATTCCGAAAGGAGTTTAACTTCTATATAAACCTATGACAGAATTCACCTTTCCTGATACATCACATCCCAAAGAAAAAAGTATCAAATTCTCTGTTTTCTTCCCTCTTTGACCACCTGTCATCAGCTGAAGATGCTTCTTTTTGAGGTTAGATATTATGTCTATCAACTGAAAACATTTGTTTCTGAAAAAGCAAGTTAAATGACATAGAGCGGTTCACTATCAGGGATGCTGCCTGCACATTCTCTGGGGATATCTTTACTCAGTCTTACACATCCTTTCTAACAAACTACAGTATTGAAGGGATTTTAAGTTTTAAGGACTTCCTTTCTAACTAAAAACATGACCATATATATGACTCTGGGATGCATGTAGACAATGCAGTCGGGGTTCATTGGATACATCTTTGTGATATGTAAAACTATGTCTGAGTACAAATAAAACTGATACCAATGTTTTCTAAGGAGAAATAAGTATATGATTCACGGAATCTGTAAACCCTTTACTTGTATTAAAAATGAAGATGATTCTTTCCCATTAAGAAAAAAATAACAAAATTTGTAACTTACAATTATTAGGAATAGAAGAAGACAAAAGCAAAATATGGCTGGAGCTATTTTTGTATCAAAAAGTCATGTTCAACAAAAGCATGAAAATCTTTTATTTTTGTTCCATGTTTTAATAGTTTAATTGCACTTTTCTTTTCTCCAAGTACAACAAAAGCAATACACAGTCATTGCAATAGTTAGATATTTTTAAGGATATTTAGCATCAAATTACTTCCAAATTTAACTTGTTTGAAATCTGAATGAGCACTATTATGTTAAAACAAAATTATGGCTTTCTAGAAAGTAATATAAATAGACAAATTAATGAAAATATTATTTTATGCTTTAATTAATAAATATCTTTCAGATCACTAATAGCCAATAGAATTATGTGGGGGGATTTAAGCATGATCTGGATTTTATTACACATATTTACGATTTAAAATGCCTCACATATTAAGTCAAGTTTTAACATAAACAGATGGTAAGAAATTAAAATAGAGAGAATTCTGCTGTATTGCAATTATCATTATCTAAAGGAAGTCCTTGAAGAGATTAAAAAAAGAAAAAAACACTTGGCTTTTGTTTTTCCAGAGAGCACAGTCAGATGAACTGGAAAAAATTGAAAAGCACAGTCGATCTTCCAAAGACAAGGAAAATGCCAAATCTCTTGACAAACCTGAACAGTAAGTGTGTCTAGGGAGGGCAATCAAGGCTGCGAGTGGGCTGCTTGCAGGGGAAAGTGATGGGCCCTGAGTGCATGTTGCTTATAAAGGAAGCATCACTGTTTGGGTGGCTTACACTTGCTCTGCCTCCTTGCCTCTGTCTGTCTAGGTTCCTGTATGAGCTGTCACTAATCCCCAACTTCTCAGAGCGAGTCTTCTGCATCCTCTTCCAGTCAACGTTTTCAGAGAGCATTTGTTCAATTCGTCGCAAACTGGAATTGCTACAGAAGTTGTGTGAGGTGGGTTCTGGGCCAGAGAACTGCACACAAGTTTTGGTATTTAATTGTGTTCAGTCGTGTCCTTACTTATTTATATGATTATTGTTTACTTGAAGTACTTGTAAATTCAAGGGATAGCAATCACACATGAGGGACTTATGGGGACCAGGCTCCAGGAATAAGTATGTGTTTAGTCGTATTCACAGGGCAGTGGGATCACACTGAGATGCTGGCCATTTTCAATTCGTCTCCTAGGATCTCAGATACCAAGGCTTTCACCAAAACCAAAGCCCCATTTTCCATATTCTCTCAGCTACCAGACTTCCAAATGGAAGTGATTTGAAGGCATGCCCTTTATTTCTCTTTTGGTTGTTTGTTTGAAATGGCCCTAATATATATTGTACCCAAATGATTTTTGGAATAGTCATTTGACTCTGTGGAAAGTAAATGTTCTTCTGAATGCAACCAATAAATTTTTGGCTGGAAGGACCAATAAAGCAGTTTATCAAAAATCAGTAGAAGTGTTTGTTACCAGGGACACTTTCAGAGAAAGTGACACAAAAACCTGTAGACAGACAGGCTTCTGGGAGTGGAGAGCATGAACTTGTGGGTGGCAAGCCCAAATCTGGAGTTCAGTCTTTATAACTGCTTTTTGGGATTCTGCAGCTTTTGCCAGAAATCTGTATTTTTCTTAACATTGAAGCAGTTAAGGATAATAAACGTGATACTATTTACTGGAAATTCTCTTTGTCTGGAGACCAGATGGCCTTTCATGGCTTCTACAATAGTACTCATGCCTGTTGGTGGCATGCTATGGTAAAGGTAACTTTGAGATGCTGCTTTTAAAGTATAAAGAGTAATGTGGAAGGACATAGTTTGCCTGTCACTCAAAGCTAGCAGCATAATATGATTAACTTGATATAGATTTTAAATGGATTCAAATAAAACAGTGTGTAAGACAAAAAATCTTTGCCATCCTGTCTTATAGACATTAAAAAATGGACCAGGGGTTATGCAAGTCCTGGGTTTGGTTCTAGCCTTTGGGAACTACATGAATGCTGGAAACAAGACGCGAGGACAGGCAGATGGCTTTGGACTAGACATTCTGCCCAAACTAAAGGATGTCAAAAGCAGCGTAAGTATTTTGTGTTAACAGTAGCACCAAATTGAGGATGTTTTGTTTTTAAATGGGTTTTGTTTTAAACAAGATAAAGTAAGTATCCCTTTCCCTTCTGAGGTCAAAAGTTTCACACATACACATGAACACATGTTTATATAACTTTTGAACTAGTGTTTTATTTGGCCCAGAATAGCCTCAGCCTTGCTATGTAAGTGAGGATGACCCTAAGCTCTGGATTCTTTTAGGTCACTTCTCCAAAGTTGTTGGTTCTACAGGTGTGAGCCTCTATTTCTGACAAAACTTCCATAATTTCCTAGCCAGGTAAAAGTAGATCATCTGGGTATCTGTAGTTTCAAGAAGTGATAATTTTCCTAAAGGAATTGTGAGTCCTAGGTTTAATGAGTATATAATATAATGTTTTGAAATAAAACTAAGTATTTCTTCTTATATCAGGCCTGATAAGTTTGATTTTTTTTTTAGGGGTGAAGTTTGATTTGAAACTGAGGACTAATCACTTTCAGTGAATTAGATCCTCTGCCCATTGTCTCTTCTTCTTTAGGCAATATAGAAATCAAACCAAATGTGAATGAAAGTAACTCATAGCTGAAACATAAAAGAAGACCCCACTTTCTGCTGTATGTATGGCAATGCCTAAGTCTGATTGCAGACCTAGGTGTTTTGGTTTTTGTAGGAGGTTGTTTGTTTTGTTTTGTTTGTTTTAGACAGGGCTTGTCTGTGTAGTTCTGACTGTCCTGGAAGTAGCTGTGTAGAGCATGCTGGCCTTAAACTCAAGTCCGCCTGCCTCTGCCTTCAAAGTGCTGGGACTATACATGCACATTACCAGCATCTGGCTGATACAGTTATTTGTAATCCTACTTCTCTGGGGGTGGTTTTGCTGTTACTGTTTAGGATTAACACTGATGAGTAGAATTAGAAAGGTAAGGTTAGGGATGACCCACAGATGAAAATCAGAGATGGTAAATTTAGAAAGTAAGAGTCTTGCTTTTCTGAAAGAGAATTGCTGACCCAAAAGAACACTAAGGTGGGTTTGAATAAATGATTGTAGAAGTGAAATTGTCATCCTGAGAGAATGAAGTCCTTGTCTTCATGAAAGACATGCAGCATGCTGTCGTCCTCATGAGAGACATGCAACATGAAGTCATTGTCCTCATGAGAGTTGCAGCATGCAATCATCCTCTTCCTAAGAGAGATGCAGCATGCAGTCATCTTCATGAGAGATGCAACATGCTGTCATTGTCCTCATGGGAGAGATGCAGTGTGCTGTTATTGTCCTCATGAGAGAGATGCAGCATGCTGTCATTGTCCTCATGAGACAGCAGCTTCTGGTCTTTTTAAACAGTCAGGACTCTGGTTCTCCATGTTTGCATGAATCATTCAACATTGTTCTCTAAGTGTCTGCAATGCCAGTCTCTAAGTGTCTGAAACTGAATAATAATCTTTTTGTTAGTTCAGTTTGTGTTTTGGGGTTGTTTGTTTTTGAGACTTGGTCTCAGTAACACAAGCTGATATCAAATTCCACGCAGTCCTGCCTCAGCTTCCCTAGTGCTAAGGTTATAGTCTCTGATAGTTTTCTCTTGCACAGTAACATCAGTTAATTTTCATGGCTTTCTGGTATACTCAAATAAACATGCATATTCAAGTGCTATTGCATTTATATTATAAACAGTACATAGAAACAAGCTTCTAATTTATAGATGTAGCAAATCATATGTGCTAAAAAAAGATCCATTTTCCAAATAGATGTTGGTTGAAACACCTTTTACAAACAACATTTGAGAATAAAGAAGTCAATATAATATTCAGCTTATAAAAATTGATCCAAAATATATTCTGATAAACCATAACTGCATAGAATTACTTATGAAGATGGATTGTATTTTCAGTTTTGCTTTGTATTACCTCCTCCTTCTGGTAAATTATGTTATATTCATTTCAATAATCACAAAATAACTTATATTAAAAATACTGAAGACAAGAAGCAAAATATATTGTTTTCTCATAATACTTTGTAAGATCTTTTGAATTGAAACTTTCTCAAGGATGCAAATGTGAGTATATTTACTCCTCAGTAGTATTTATAGAATAGAGACTATAATTTCAGATCAACCAGAATGTTCTCTCATTATGCCTATAGGCAAGCTTTTAAAAGATGTTTTACTAACTGACTCATGTACTGCTGTTTCATTGATTGACAATTTAGGACAAAGAATAGCCCTCAAGTTGTTTGAGCCACAAGCAAATACTGTCTGGTGCGGAAATCTTTAATGGGCATATTACTGTATTCCATGCAACTTGATTACTAAGTGGCATTATTCTTTTCATAAGTACAGGAAACCTCATGCTTAGAACCTGTAACAGAAGCTCTGAGGAAAGTTAAGTTTAACAAGATTTATTTGTATGAGAGAAAGTTCTGGGGCCTGGTAATATTACAGTTTAGTGATGGTTCCAAATGCTCTGCCCCCATTCAAATGAGTGCTGTGGTGATATCTTTCTTGTACAAATAAAGCCTATCTGGATGTCACAGAATGGAGCTTGCTAACCATAGAGGCCTGGAGGTCTGTACAGACAGACAAGAAATGACATAACTGGGCAGAAACAGGATATAAGCAGGGAGAAACAGGAAATTGCTCTCTTCTCTGCTGAGACACTTAGGAGATAAGGTGTGTTGTGGCTTGCTCCTTCTCTCTGATCTCTCAGCATTTCCCCCTATATCTGACTCTGACTTTTTATTATCTAAACCAAGTAAGAACTCCATTTACAGAGTGCAGGTTATATTTATAGCCAGATGTGAAATTCAGAAAGCCTGAATCAAAGCAGTTGACATTTCTCTTACATAGCCATGTTTTAGAAACTTTCACCTTCCAACTGATTGGAAGTCTACCTGTTGGTTATTAGTATATACTTTTAGAGTAGCATCAAGCCAGGGTGTAGTTCACTATGTAACAAGGTCATTCTGGACCAAATTTGTCACCAAAATATACAGACCAAAATACATCCAACCTGTATTTTAACAGAGTAAACATTTCAGAGAATTCAGATTGTGCACTAGGCTTTCTTAAACTCATCTGTTAATTAGTTGAAGCAAGTCAGAAAGCTTAATTTAAAAATTAATGCTTCTAGGTGTGCCATGCAAGAAGCAAAATAGTATTCTTTGAAAACTTTTAAAGACTATTGGGTATAAAATAATTATACCCAATAATAAAATAATAAAATAATGATATATACATTATCTTTAATAGCAGTAGCATAAGTTTTAATTCCTTGAATTATAATGTGTACTGGCAATTTAGAAGTCTCCACTTATCTGAAATGCTTTCCCATTTCTCTGGTCAAAGTGCTAATGGATTTCCAAGAATTATTTATTATGGTAGTACTGGTGAGATTATTTATATGGAATTACAAGCCAAGTTCTGTTCCTAGTATTCACAGGGATGCTTACAACCACCTGTAACTCCTGTTCCTAAGAATCCACTGCCCTCTGCTGGTTTCCTGGTTCAGGGCACACATGCATTGCACACACATACAGGCAGGCAAAACACATGCATATACTTTAAAAGAACAAAAAGTACTAAGCAACTTCAAAATACATTAAATAAAAGATAAAAATGTCGAATTAAATTTCTGATGGAGGGGAATGAAAATAGCAACCTATTTACATCTGAGCTTCTCCCTTAAACAGTGACGCTTCCTCTTGGCACTTATGGTGGAAGAAAAAAAAAATCTGTCATCCAGCCCTTTAAATACAATGACCGAGGCACTGTAGACTATAAAACCACTCAGAATATTTCCAAGTTGATAAGTGTGCTCCCTGAAGTTTACTTTACACTGTACACTTAATAATACGTAATCTTAAAATATGTGTCACTGACTTTGATCTTTCTGCCTAGGACAACAGCAGAAGCCTTTTGTCATATATCGTTTCATATTATCTTCGAAATTTTGATGAGGTAAGACCAGTTTTACATACTTTTCTCATTTTGATTTTCTTTTCTTTTTTGCATTTATGTGTGTGTGTGTGTGTATGATGCATGCATATGAGTGTGTGGGTGTGTTTGCGCAAACGTGCAGATGCAGAGGCCAGAGCAAGACTTGTGGCCCCTTCTTCTGCACACTCCATCTAATTTCCTCGACAGTTTCTCACTGCACAGGGAGCTTGCCATTTATTTCAGCTGTGCTCATTGCCGGCCCATGAGGTCTCAGATCATCTTCTTTCTACCCCCACTGCACAGGCCCATGCAACCCTGATTAACTTTTCGCATGAGTGGCAGAGATTTGAACTCAGGTCCTAGATGGCGGCAGAGGAAGCACTCTAGGACACTCAGTCACCTCTATGGGCTGTTATTCTTCTTTGTGGGGGTGATTCCCTAGTGTTTTCCCAGTTGTCTTGTTGGAGTTGCTGCCATCTCTACTGTCTCAATGTGTTTTGTTTCTCACACTGATTTGTTTTAAAATCACGTTTGCTAATTAGGACGCTGGCAAGGAACAGTGTGTCTTCCCACTGGCAGAGCCCCAGGAGCTGTTCCAGGCCTCACAGATGAAGTTCGAAGACTTCCAGAAAGATCTCAGAAAGCTAAAGAAAGACCTGAAAGGTAATGTATGACCTTGAACTTACATTTTTTTAAAGGTGCACTCTCAGTGATAGATGATAGACTTTTAAGGGTCTTTAAAACAAGTCAGGCAGTCAGGAGCTGCGTTGAGCTGATCTTTTTACATACAGCGAAAGAAAAATATGCCAGTATTTTTATTTTTTATTGCTTCAAAAAGTTGAGCATTGGAAATTCAGTTATCCAATCATCTCCTAGCCATCTGAGTAACAGTTCATTTCATCGGGAACAAGTTCACGTCTTGTTTTTATTTTGTAGCCAAGAATCTTTGGATATCCTCCATATCATGGCTGGACACAAATCCTGTCATTGTTGAAAGATTAATAGTTCTTGCCTGCTCTCCTTTGATATGCTTGCCCAAAATTCTGTGATTTGTGAGCCCTTATAAAAACAAAACATGTTCCTGTGCATAGGAGATTAAATAACACATAGGTGTTTACTGTTGTATTGTGAATAACAAAGCCTAACATCGTATAATTTTGATAAGTGATTACCTGAAATTCCTCACATTTCTTTTATTAGTAACATTTACTTGCAAGAAAATAGTCTTCCAAATTTTTTTTCTTTCTTTCTTTTTTTGTTTTCAGCTTTTGGTTCTTTTGGGGGGGTTCAAGACAGGGTTTCTCTGTGGCTTTGGAGGTTGTGAAACTTACAGAGATCCTCCTGCCTCTGCCTCCCAAGTGCTGGGGTTAAAGGCATGTACTACCACCACCTGGCTTCAAAATTTACTTTTTTAAAAAACATCTTTTCCATCTGTTTTGTGCCATTTATTGTTGTTTTAGTGTTCAGAACCTATTTCAATCACTTTTTGAGTTATATTAAGTTTAGGCAGATAGCAAATAAGACGACATAGCATTTTTCATTTGATATTGTGTTACCAAATTGAAAAAAAAAGCTAGTCACTTCTGCACAGAAATTAAAAATATATATATTTAGGTTTTTTGGTTTTTGTTTTTTTGGGGGGTTTTTACGAGACAGGGTTTCTCTGTATTGTTTTGGAGGCTATTGGCCCAGCCCTGCCTGGAACTCACAAAGATCCGCCTGCCTCTGCCTTCCGGGTGCTGGGATTAAAGGCATGCGCCACCACTGCCCGGCTTATATTTAGGTTTTAGTAGACCCAGTCCCAAAATAGAAGATGCATTTTCCCAAAGGGGTCGTGATCTGTCACCAGATTTATGGCAGTTATGTTCTAGTTACATATATATTTAGATGGATTTCAAGAATACAACATTTTCTTGAAGTTCTTATATATTCACATGGTATAATTAGGTGTTAGTGAGATATGATCAGTACCCCAAAACAAAGTAACTGCTATTGGAAGGGCTACAAAACTGTTTCTTAGTTATGTATGTTTCATTCCAACTTTATGTATAGGTGCCTATTGATTAAAAACAAGAAAGATAGCTTTTCCTTATTTGAGTGTCACAATTATGTAAGAACTAGTTCTTTCTTGTGGGAAATTATGGAACCATATATTTAAGTTGGGGAGGGAGATGTGATGAAGGGTTCTAGGAAGAGTTGTAAGGCGGGGAGTGATGGTTGGGTATGTTCAAGATACGTTGCATACATTCTTAAAAGATGGTTAAAAGCAAATTAATTCTTAAAGCATTACAAAAGAATTCCTATTATAGAGTTTATGACAATTCAAAAATTATGGCTTTGTTTAGTTAGAATGTACATACGCAGTGATCTGGTGCCAGGGGCATTTCTGGAGAGGCTGAGAAATACTTCATACTTCCATCAACACTTCATTCTGGAAAATTAGGATTTCATCATTTACAGATGATTAATAAGAGGAATGATATTATTAGTAAGTGTGTAGTTACCCATACAAGTACACAGGCACTTGCGTGTGAGTACTCAGATAATACACATACACAAACAAATCCATGTATATACACAAACATGCATACATGCACACAGATGTACAATTTCCACATACATATGCTTTCAAAGAGATGTTCACACATGTACTTACACACATAATTGCAAACACTTGATATATGAGCACATGGGTTTTCTTTAGAACCTCTAGATATATGGAACCATGAAAAGAGCAGATTTTCCTAAGTCTCAGAGCCCAGCAGCACAAACGTTAGATAATGGACTTGAATGATGAGCAGTCAGTGAGTCTCTCTGCTCTATCTCTTGACTGTGTGTTTTCTAGAGAAATGTCCCAGCTACAGAAAACCACATATTGGAGGATCATATTAGCAATATCTCAAAACCATAGGAGGTTGAGCAAATGTTTGCAGCCATGAAGGAGTATGGCTTTTATAGAGGAAAGATGAATGTATTCAAAGAGCTGCACCATTGATCAACAACTGTAACATTTTTCTATCTAACAACTCCCCTCTTTGTCGATGGGCTGTATTAATTTAATGTCATAGAAATGGGAAGTATGTGAGTGAGCTTCCCAAGACCTCCTTAGTTTTATGGCAGCCAGAAGGATAGCAGACAGAAGATGACTTTGGGGACAAGATACACTCTCCTAAATATGCACCCAGTAACCCGCGTCCTTCAAAGACTTTCAATTGTCAGTAGCCCATTCAGCTATGAGCTCATGAAATCATTCTGAGGGCAATGTCCTCTGAGACTGCTGGCTGGAAACGAAGCCTCCGACACATGCATCTCTGGGAGGCCATGCAGTATCAAAACCAGAAGAGGGGGGTTATGGCCAAATAAGTACAGAAACTGCAAAGTTAAGTTTAATTGTGAAAGGAATTCACAGTATTTTACAGCAGTGATTTGCAGTAGTTCTTTCATTTATTTTACCACAGAGCACCTTTTTATTCCCCACACAGAATGTGTGGTGGCTTTTGTGGTCAGTGAAACACATCTGAGCAGATTTTGGGAAATGCAAGCTTGGTACTGTGTTAGGAACACAGGCATGACTGGCCTCTGAGCTTACAAGGAAACAAGTTCATGAAACAGTATCACTGTTTCTTGTTGATGTTGTTGCTGCCGCTGCTGCTGTTTATAAAAATCAACCTAGCTCAAAATGATATCAACTCCTGAGAGTTAAGAAAAATATCCCTTGTTTTTCAAAATCTGATAATTTTCATAGAGAAGATGATTTGGGTACAAGGGAAGATATCTTATGAATCAAACTGTAAGTCCAATTTCTGAGGAATAAAAAGCCATCAGAAATATGTATGTATCAGTGATGCATGAAGTTACTTCTCTTTTTTAGGAATGGTTTCAATGTGAGTAGACATACATTGGAAAAACTAAATTAAGGTCAAATCGGAGATTATTTTAGATGAAGTTATAGTATTTAAAAAGTATCTACTGGGGGCTGGAGAGATGACTAAGTGGTTAAGAGCGCTGAATGCCCTCTGGAAGGCCCCGGATTCAAATCCCAATACCCACATGGCAGCTCACAACTGGCACTAAGTCAGTTCCAGGAAATCTGACACCCTCATACCAACACACATAAAATTAAATAAATTAATTTAAAAAATTATCCTTAGCTTAGTCTGTATAGCCTTTAAAAATCTGTTTTAATTTATTTCATTTTGCTTTTAGATTTATGTATTTTTTATGTGTATGGATGTTTTGCTTGCATGCATGTCTATGTATTACATAAATGCCCAGTGCCCATGGAAGGCTGAGGAGGGTATCAGTTCTTCTGGAGCTGGAGTTACATGGGGTTGTTAGCTACTACGTGGGTGCTGGGAATCAAACCTGGGTCCCCTGGAAAAGCAGCTTGTGCACTTAACTGCTGATCCATCGCTCCAGCACCCTAACTGATTTATTTTACACAATCAAATTTAAGAAGTTTCAAACAGCCTGTCTACACTTGTTTCCTCCAGGGAAAATTGTTTTAATCAGACATAGAAAAAGTGTTAAACATATAAACAAGATATTACAGTACTCTGTGGTAAATATTCAGTAGCATTTGCTCTTCATGAGGTAAAATTGAATTAATAACATGATTATTTGTTAATGACAAATGTGCTGTCTCCACTAAATTATTCATCTGCCATCCAGCCCTCTTATTTTTGCTTCTGAGAAAACTGAGCAACAATGTGTTAGGACTTGGACATTTTAGAAAATCACCCAAACCTCACCTTAGCATTTCTATAAAAATATCCATTGAGTTGGGTCTGTCTTCTTATCTGAAGATTCCCGTGCCTGCCCTTCAGGATGAGAGTCAGGTTTCCTAGCTCAGGGAAATGTCTTGTCCAGCAATTTTGGTTTCTTCTGGCTACCTATAACTTTTTCTTGATACAGTTACTCCAAATGACACCTTGTGCCCAGTGTCTCTGTCAGGTGAAGCAGTCTCTGGAGAAACTGTGTCAAAATCTCAATAAGCCTCAGGCGGCAGAAATCTCTCAGCTTGAAACCTGGGTCACAGATAGGTTCCACTGGGCATGAACAAACTTTATTCATATCACAACAGAGCAACAAAGCCCCATGAGTGTGTTCAAATGGATAGCAGTCAAACAAAATCCAACATCTTTTTTCAAAGAACATCATATTGAACAAGAAAGGTTACTGAACTGTGTTTGCTATATTACTAGTACATAAATCATTTACCAATCTTAAGAAAAACAAAGGCATTGGAAAAATAACAAGCCCTCTGATTTGAGCTTGTAAAGTTCCAATATATAAGCAACCATTAAGTCTTTTGGGCGAGGATGCAAGTAGGGGAATAAACAACAGAATTCACTGGGCCTAAGGTAATGGGTCATTAGGGAATACACTGGCCTCTTTCAAAATATTGGTATTTTCTATTTCTTAAATTGTAATTTGAATATATGGGTATTCATTTAATTATTCTTTATACTTAGTGTGCATGTTATATGTTTCCTTCATGTGTAAGATGGGGTTAATAAACTTATTTCAGAAGAAAGAAACCTAGGCAACCATCCAGGAATATGCTTGATTTAGAGTTGAAACCGAGTAATCCAGGCTCCACTAATTTAAAATGTGTGATTGTTCCGTCTCTTCTGCTCTTTATGAAGAAATTATATAACTTG